GATGAATGGTAGTAATAAATATTAAATAAAAAATAATAAAACAATAATAAATGATAATAAATGACAATGACATTGTTGTTTCTTTTTTAACCTCCTAAACATACTTTTGAAATGTTTCGTGTAAAATTGAAATTTTAATAACCATTGATAGCAATAGCAGTATACATCAACTGTAATTAACATAAACAAGTATAAATCAATATTGTAATATTAGCGTAAAAATTAATTTATAATTTTAGTGCAACTTATCTCAACTACTAAATTACTCGAAAAATCGATTTGATTTAATTACGATTATACAATCGTTTTATTTTTTTTCTTTTTTTTTTCATAGTTTTTTTTTTTTTGACAAAAAATTTATATGTTGAAGACATGCATAATTTGCTTAAGAAGACAAAAAATTTTTGGGGGAAATTTAATTTTGAAAATGCTACATTTTTTTTTTACAAGTTGTCAAAGAAAAGAATTGGAATAATGATGATTGGTTTCTGTTATCCTCAATATTTCGAATTTTGATTATTTTTAACGAATGTAATTTTAGAAGGGACGTTCAGTGCTTTTTTTGCTTCTTGAAAGCTGCCTTTTTTTTCAACAGCTATTTCTGTGAGGCATGAATTTTTGAATTATAAAATATTTTATCATGCATAATCTATGGCTATCTGTCTGTCTACTTGGCCATGTCTACCTGATGGATACAGCAAAGAGTTATTTTTAGGCAATTTTTTTTTTTTTTGAAATCGCTATTAATGTAAATTATTTAGTTTTATTGCGGAAATTGAATTTACGATATTCGTCGAATTTTGCTAAATTTGTTCAATTTTTGCGGAATTTATGATTTTATCAATGAAGAACTTTTCTCAATAAAAAAAATTTGCATCAGATTTAAATAAGAATTATACTTAGCTCAACATATTAATTTGCAACTGAGCTGGGCACTTTTTGATAATTGTCATCATATCGTCGCCTATCGATAAGATCTGATGCAAGGTTAAATCACTGCACCTACTTAACTGAATGAATCATACAATGATTTCATACAGTTGAACAGTAACTTTATCCAAAAAGTAATACTTGCATTATTTATATTGCGAAATGAAAGTTTGCATTTAACAAGCTTTAAATGAATTTTAGTGAATTTTACTTTATGAAGAATCTAAATTAGAAGTGTAGATATCGGAAGAATCACTGAAATCAATAGGAAAACCAATTGAAAATGGTGCAAGGATCTTCGAGACTCCGCAATCTGATGGACAATACATTGCCGGCATTCCAGCTTCTCCCGATGGACCCCACGGTCCTATCTCACCGTATGGACCAGTCTAAAATAGAACAGTTGAAAGATAATCTATTCAGCTTAACAAATTAAAGAAAAAAAAATGCAAGAAGAAAAGTTTAATATTTACATTTCCCTGTAATCCCGGTGAACCGATCAATCCTTGCTCTCCCTGTTTGCCAGGAATATTGGATCGTCGACCTGGCATACCTTGTGGCCCTTTAGAACCTATAGGTCCAGGTAAACCTTTTGGTCCTTTCGCACCAACACCAGCTGAAATTTGATTAACGGTATAAGATCAAAACAAAACAAATCATTCAACAAATAAATTCAGATCTAATCGATCATTTTTATATATTTTAGGCCTCTTTAAAAGTTAAGCATTTCTCTTCTTTATAATTGAACAAAAAAATCCTACATAAAAGTATCTTTAAGATAGAAACAATTTTTTGGAAAAAAATGAAATATACTATTAAACAGACCGAAAGAGTCATCACCAGCTACTCCTGGAGGTCCAATTGGTCCTTCTTTTCCAATTGGCCCTTGTGGCCCAATGTTTCCAAGTAGCCCATCTTCACCCGGTTTACCAGGCCGACCTGAAACTACATGAAATTTCTATGCAACTTTAATACCCTAAGCCAGGATTTTGATCAAAAAAATATACGAAAACTGACCTAAAGGACCAGGAGAACCTGGAAGACCTAATCGGCCACGTTCTCCTTGTGGACCACGTAAACCAGGTGGTCCGGCAGGACAAATAGAACATGGGAGATCAAATGATAGCTGTTCAGCCATGATATCTTCGCCATCAGTACCAGGTAGTCCCATTTTTCCAGGTGTACCCGGAACCCCATCAATTCCTGGTGGTCCAACAAGTCCAGGTTCACCCATCGGACACATCAGACGCATACATTCTGAATTCAAATTGCCATTATAAATCAATTTTTCGTAATTGAATGCTCTCTGTAAAAAGCATTTTTCACGTAATATACGTATATACTTACTACTACATCGCTCGATTGTTTCAATAAACATATTAGTTTGTCTTACAAAACGCGTGCTATGGCCAGTTGTTTGTTTAGCATGCCTTATTTCAATCCATAAAGCAGAAGATTTTCTCTGAAAATGCTTGTAATTTAAAGCATCAAATCCATAAAAAATCTTAATGGAAAGAGGATTATCATTTTCTCTCATCTCTGTACCCTAATGAGAAAGAGTTAAAATCTTTAATCCAAAAGATCATATCAGTTCAACAAACCAAAGTTATTCATTTAAGGCTGAGTTAAACATCATCAATTGACCGTAGCTAACGACAAATGGTAAATGCCAACGTGATTGCATTAAGCCTAAGCATCACTATGAGTATTCTCTTTCAAGTTACATTCATCTATAACCAGATAAGTATGGATTGAAAAATGAATTTTTTTTTTGAATTATTTTTTTCTAATTTTCAAAAACCTTAAATAAATCGGCACGTAATTTCACTTCCAGTTGCGTTAGATTTGTCTTTCGTTGTATCATTGTGACTGTCACCAATAAAGCAAATAATGTCAACAGCGATGTTACAATGGTAAGCAAGCCAAGCATGATGAAACGATCATCATTATTAGTGAATGCAATCTGTAATAATTAATTATCCAATGCTATTATAAATATAAATTCCGATGTTATTTTAGGATGAAATTTTAATTCACATTTTATATTATGGTTTTCAAAAAATGTAAAAAAAGATATCATCCATGGAATAGCATTTAAAATAAATTTACTACTGTCATAAAATACATGCATTCTATTGAATGAAACTAATTCGGATAAAAATTGCTCCATATGCAAAAACTTTCAATTTTCAAAAAACAATCTTACGGATTTAAAAAAAACAATCTTACGGATTTAAAAAACGATATATCAGCTAATTGATTAAATCAATCTAATAAATTTTATAAATTAAAGCGTTCACTTTTAGGCTATTCAATTATTACATTCAAAATACTACTGTTTGATTATTATACATGTTTCAGCAAATATCTTACAAATAGACAAATTGGTCAATGAAAGCTTAAAATTCTCGTTGATTCATTTTTTAAGCTCATTTTGTGATAACTCTCGTAATTATTCTTCAAATTAACTGGTTAAAATTTCAGTAAACATACAAATATTTTCTGTTTTCGCATATGAGTTGTTGGTTTAATAGGCTTTAGCTATATTAATTTAATGATTTTTAATTATTTTAAGGAAGAATTTAAAGAGTACTTCCAGGAACGCATATATCAGTAATTTGCACATATATGGTAAATGTATAGCAAAGGCAATGAGGAAAACGGTAAGAAGGACAACATTTACATCTAAATAATAAAAAATTTCAGCAAAATTTAATCAAAATCTTTATTAAAATGAAGTATATGTTGATAATTTGTTAAAAGAAAATGCAGAAAAAAATTAAACAATGATTGATATGCGGCAGTCTGTTATCTAATAAGGAAAATAATTTCATAGATGAAAAAAATGAATAGAAATGAAAATAGTTGATAGCATTATGATAGTTTCATTTAGCTTCTCTTAATAGTTTTTATTAATTTTTAGTATTGATCGTATTCTTGCGGGAAATTCTCAATTATCAATTTTGTTTAATTTTTTCGCTTATTTAACAATTAATATTTCATTTCATTTCATCTGGAAAAAGCACTTAAACTATTTTCATGATGTATAGCACTAAGAAAGACTTTCTAAGTACATATTTCGTCTGTGTCATCACATATAAATGTCACTGTTAAACAGAGCACACTGAAATAATTAATGTAACTTATGATTGGCATGAACTTTTGAACTTCCTGATTCTACTATCATTTGATATCAAATAATATATTACACTTTGCTCAAAATGTTTATTTATTGATTAATTGGAAGATTTAATCAATTAATGAGTATAATCAAATTTAATAACTTTTTACCTCCTCAAATTAGTATTTCGAGATATATTATTATCATTGAAACAAAGAATTCCAATAATATTCACTTCATTTATTTTATTTACTCATCGATTGAATTTCCTCCATCATCCACCATCGATATGATTAATTTTCCTTTCCAGAAGAAATATAATTCCTGCCTTATTAGCTTAATGCTAATAATTAATGCTAATATTAAATTCCATCGTATCATTAAAGTGATACGATTTTTCAAATGTATTTTATTTTCGTCAAAATTTAAGGATTGGATAGAAGTGCTATGAAAGCATTTTAAAGAAAACTGCTCCTATCAGTTGATAAAATTTGAAGGAGAAAGTTGAAATGAGATTAAATTTCCTATCATTTATGGAATAATTATAAAAATGCTCCTTAAGTTCATAGTAATAATTTAAAAAACATCAGCCAGTTGCGCAAGACAAAAACATCAAATAAAATTAAGTTCTCTCAATGATTACGTGAAATTTCTAAAATTCATGAAAATTTCAGAGAAATTAATAAATGTATATATATATTAAATAATATGTTTCTCTTCTTCACTTTTCCAATACCCTTTCTTTACAACATTTTTTTTTGCAGTTATTAATTATATTAACAAGACAGGATTGAGATAGATGAGAAGAAATGAATTTAGAATTTCAGAAATAGGAATATAATCTCGAAGTGTTTGCTTAATTATATATATCAATGATTAAGCTCTTTCTTACTTTCCGCCATCAAACTTCAACAAACTTGTAGAAATAATTTAAAAATTTTATCATAATGAGGCATTTTATATCAGAAATTGAAGTTAGTGCCTGCGCTAATTGTTTTTTTTTCTCATTCTTTTTGCTTTTTTTTTACTCTATAATGTATATGTAAATCAAAAAAATTGGCATTCAATGTCTCTTTTAAAAGGAGTTTTAATTTTGTATTGTAATCTAAAATCGAAATGAAACAAATTAAGAGGAAAGTTAATTAATAACTGCAAATACAAGCAGATTGTTAAACTGTTATAAACTAAAATTCATGTAATTAGCAACTCATAAATTTGCTCGCAACAAGTATTTCTTCGCCTGTTTTGACTTCTCGAGAGTAATTAAATGATTTCCGAAATTAATAATGAAGAAATATTTTATCAATCGCATGTTTCTGTTTAGCTATAATAGCAAATATACGAGGGATCAGTTATATATTTCATTTTTAGCACAATTTCAAATCAAATTTTGCAATATTGTTTACGCCACTGCAGTGTTATAAGTTTTCATTATAGGTCATTTATTAGTAATTTGTGATAAGAAATATGAAGATTAATTAACCATTCTCTAAAGATACTTTCCTTGGCTGATAATATGTGATGAATGGGGGATAGCTTTCTATCATGTCAAACTTTTTGTTTGTAATTTCAGGGATACTGTAATATCATCACAAATAGCTGTCTTTTTTTTGTCACTAAAATCAGTTATCATAAGACGAAATTCGAGGTCATCGAGATCGACAAAAGTATGTGGAGCATTTGTTCTCGACTTCATTCTTGACCGTCGCCTTATTAATGTAATGTACTATTGACAAAGCGTTGTGAAAAGAAGGGACCGATTAGAGATCAATTAACTCACGTTGAGTCGTAAAAGTTCATCATAGAGGGAAGAAGTATAAGAAGGAAAATACTAGATTCCCAACAATGCTAATTTTAGAACGTGTTCCGGAAAAAAAATGACCAAAAACGGTGTCGCAAAGTTTTATTTTCATTAAGTTTAAAATTAAACTCAGAAAGGTTTGAAATGACATTCTGTAAATTCAAAATTGAATTCATCAATTTAGAAATCTGTATTAATAAGAAACCATATCGCATTATCATTCAGATGACGGAGGTAAATGTGATCTAAGATCCACAGATGGCTTAAGCAGATAGCTAGTTGTATGGTTTATCTGAAAATTGGATTCGTTGTGACAAAAGCGATTTAGCATATTATGATAATATTATTACATTTGCATTTCACTATCTTACGTTAGGCATACAAGTAAACTCATAAATATTTTAAAAGATAAAGTTGCAGTAAATGAGAATCATAAATATAATGATTGCGGACCGTGAGCTTACGTAAATACAACACCTGCGGAATGACTATGGTGCTTATGTAAATATAATTTCTGCGGACTAGAATGTGTTGATTGCGGGCCGCGATGCTTACGTAAATGTAGTGCTGCAGACTGACTGCGATTGCGGAACGCATTGCGGAACATGATATTTATGTATATAGTTGTGGATTGTAGTGTTTACACTGATATGATGTTTGTAGATAAAAAATGCTTACGGCTTGTTTAATTATCAATGCCTCATCTAATAGTTGCTCGAGAAATGAGAAATGAAGCGCTTTCTCGTGCAAAAAATAATCGTTAATTTCTAATTCGTTATTCTCAATAAGTTCTCTATCAAAAAAATATTTTGCAAACAGGTATGAACTAATAATGTGTGATTTTGTCATCATTATAAAGCAAAATGATGATGAATTATGAGGAGAAAAAAAAAACTGATAATTTTACCGTGACATTTCTCCTTTGATGACCTTTGTGCTTTCAGACGACGGCTCAATTTACCATAAGTGTAATAAAAAATGAGATTCATGTGACATTGATATTGTCAGGTGTTGGCACAGTAAAATCAATCATATGTGTGAATAAAAAGAAGAGGGATAAAACAGTCATCAAAAATTTAAAAAAATTTTCATCAAAATCTTTTAGGTTTCTTTTACACGACAAATTTAATTTTTTACAATTTCAGTTTCGCATTGATACTGAAATTGACAGCGCCATTTGTAAGAAACTACGCTAAAAACATTTCGAGGCTTTCATTTAATGATTTTATTACAAAATACATATTGCAATATATCAAATGTTTTTATGATAGTATTTCAAATTTTGAAAGAAAAACGAAAATATTTCACTCTGCAACAAAATTACTTATATGGGTTTAAATGTTTCAATGTAACTCAATATAGAAGTATATGTCAAAATTAACTTTGTAAAAGTTGAACAAAATACTTTTCTTCCTATGTAAGTCTATAAAGCATGAGTGTATAACAAACCTTACTGATTGAAATTGCAGGAAAAAAACTCTGAAAATTTTTAAATTCAAACTCACACAGAAAAAGAAAAAGATAAAAGTCAAATATTTTTGATCAGTGTTTTCAAATGAATGGATTAGACTTGATAAGAATATATGAAAGTTGTGATAGTCTCGCTTGACAATTTAAAAATTTTTGAATGACATCGGTGATGAATGAAACTTGCAAGTAATATTCTACAGTGAGGATAGCAAAATAATAATATAATACAGAAGAAAGCAACACATAGCAATGTAAAGGAAATTTAAACTTGAATTTCACTTCTGTGAATTTCATTTCCACAACCAATTACTTTCATTTTTCTAATTTTCGATTCATTTTATTTTCCCAGTTTTTTGCCGCTTTTTTTATTCTTTGTAAAGACTTTTTATTCGAATTAGATTTTCCTTTTATCCATTTTCAATTTCAATTTTTTATCTTTTCTTGGCAGATCCGAAAAGTTGAGATTTTAATAAATCTTTTTTCAATTAATAATTATGTGAGCTTTCATCAACTACTGACTTAACTTAATATCCGATAATTATCCAGCTAACCTGTCAGCTAATTAATTACTTCTTAATTTGGAAAGATGAAATAAAAGGCTGTAAATAGAAAAGTTACAGTGAATGAACGAATTTATTGTTTCTGACTTGATTTGTTATTTATGACAGAGAAAATTCTTAAAATTAACATTAAAAATTGAGTTAATCATTGTAGCTGTTTACCTTGTACTGCAAGCATAACCAAATGAATATAATCGAAAATTGAAATTTTATTTGAAGGGAGAAATACAAAGAATACAACTATACAAAACAAAAAATTAATCAGAAAACTGAATTTTTTATTTTAAAAATTTCAGGTTAATATAAATGACTTTTCGTTCGACTATTTGAGAATAAAAGGTGTAATTTTATGAATAGTTAAATTTCAAGTGCTATTCGCCGTTAAGCCTGTTTTTTCACTTAATAAATTGAATATCAGATTGATAAAATGAAATAGGAAAAAAACGAACCTTCATAGTGAAATTATGAATGAGAAGATCGGTAATATGTAATTTGACCACTGCTGCCCAACTGCAGTTGTTGTATTCAAGTGACTGATAAACGATAAAATGACCTAATTTCATGCTGAAATGACCAACAAACTTAAATCTTGAACCTCTATTCTATTCCTATCTAATCGTTCTCTTACCATTGTAAAATATGAAATTTCATGAAACAGTTAACTGGTAGTTACAATTTATCTGTTAAATCTGAACAGTATTTGTTGAAAATTTAACGATTAAAAGAAACATTAAATTATTAATGCATTGAATTGCTCATCACTCAGTAATTTTGTTTACATATTTTTACTGTAATTAATTTGACAGTGATTATGATTAATTAAATTTCAGTCGATAAGAAATAATTTGAACAGTCGAAAGTACATGAAAGTCAGCATAATTTTAAACATTTGCCATATACTATAAATTGAATTGCTATTTCATACAAATTGCAATATACAATAATGAAATAGGAATACAGTATAAACAATAATTAGGACAAGAAGACCTCGTGCAAGAAGTGATTTTCAACTTTTCTATTTTCAATATGTATGAATAGCAGTATAAAAATTAATAAAAATTCTAATAAAAAATGAAAATTTAGCAAACTATAAGATGAAAGAAATGAAGAAATTGAAAAGTGTAAAAGGAATTTCACTTGGATATTGAATTGAAATGTTGTATCAAAATTCGAAAATTTTAAGGCATTCATCCAAATTCTATATGCGTATTATCCAGTGTCCCTTCATCTATCACCAAAATAATATTTGAGTCTTATCTTCTAACTTGGAACACTTGTAAATTGATTGATGAAATATTTTTTCCAATAGCCTTTATCATCAAAGACAGCTAATAAGCTGCGCAAAAAGCACAGAAAAAATTCAACTAAAAATTTAAGAAAATAATTTTTAGAATTTGTTTAAAATAAGCACTATCAATCTTTTAATTTAATAAATTAATTTTTGCTCAAACTTTTATTTTTTCAAGGATTGTTGAAAAAAATACACATCGATGGGCTAATGAATTCAATCGATATGAATGAAATGTACTGAAAAGAGGGCTTTCATTTACAATTAATTTTTTCTTTTTTCTTTTTTTCTCATATTTCTGATATTTACTCGTTATCAGATGATTCCCTTTAAGTGGAAAAAAGTAGAGGAAAACTTGATAACACAAGCTGAAATTAAAAAAAGTGATATCGGATATATCGCATTTTTCGAATTGTTAGTTTTTATCATTTCAAAACATTCTTGAAATGAAATTTTCAGAAACGCAGGACAAATAATTTATTAATAAATAATTTTTTCATGGAAAACAAAAACAAACATAATTATAATTTCACTACAGTTTTTTTGTATAATTACATAATCTTCTTTAATTTTTTTTTCAATAAAAAATCAAATCAAGATTAAAGAATAAGTCGGTCAAATAAAGACGTCGTATCATAAGAGAAAAAAGATTACTTGACCCTAATGAAAGGTCATTTTATTTACACTCAATAGAGCAAATATCATTCTTCTACAATATTGCTGAAGTCATTAAGCCATTAAAAATTTTACAATCTATATTTGCAGTAAAAAATGGACTGAGCTCGGATATTCTTAGTCAAAATTTCAATCCCAGCAATTAATTTTTTTCTATCATAAAAATGATAAAAATTTTCGCATCCCTCGAATTTATGAAGTTTGCAACCTATAGCGATAAAGCGAAAGTGAAATTAAATGAGATTTTCTAATTTAAACTATCAAATTAGAGAGCGTGAAGTTGCGTTTGATGGGAAAACGTAATTTCAGTTGACGTCAATTGTTCTTTGCCACTTCGATGAGCACTGTTTTCTGCCATCTGTGAACCTTTTTCTTCCGCTGTATTAGCTGATCTTCTATTTTTTTCTTTCTCTTTTTCTGATTTATTATTTGATAAATGTTTTTTACCATTTTGCTGTTGTCGTCGATGTGGTGGCCTTAATAGATGATGACGCCTTCGATGAAATGCCTTAAAATTTGCATGTTAAAAAAAGATGGCTTATCAAATAACAAATATTATAAGCAAATTAATTAGACTAATTTATATACCTTAATTTTTACATCATCGAAAAGTGGATCACGTCGAATGTTTACACGATCTGGTGCTTCATCAGGCACAAATTCCGTTAATTCAACTTCATCTACTTGTGTTTCCTCCAGTGTTAATTTGTCACCTTTTAACATTCTAATGCTTGTGAAATATTTACATATCATACTGAAATCTCAATACTAAATATTACGGCAATTAAGGAAATAAAAACGATTTAAGCAATAACTGAATTTTAATAGAGATATCTGCCATTAAAATTGATTATCCCTACAGTATCACTATCATATTCTTATCAATCGTTGGGAGAAAAAAACGAAAAAGCATAACTTACGGGCGACAAAACCAAAAATAAAGAAGCGGTAAAATGCAACAACTAAAAAGCATTCCGCTACTAATCAAATATGTATGCGTCAATGATAAGCTTGCTATAGCTTCTGCATGCTCATCTGCTGAAGAAAAAAAATTTGATGAAAAGTGAATTCAAAAAAAACATGTATTATTAGCTGTTCTAAAAATAACTCTTTATTATCAAAATATTTCACTCAAATTTTGAAATTGTTCATTTATATTTGCATATTATATATTAGTTAAATTAAATATAAACCACATAAAATATCATATTTGTGTACTGATATAGTATGGCATACTTATTACATTAGAATGGTACAGTATATCATATCTATTACTGTATGTTATTGTACGATATGTTATATTCACTGCTGTTCTATGACATGTTATATTCATTACGGTACCACGATCCGGTATGTTATATTTACTACACCGTAGTAAATACAACATGCCGAATCATCGTACTGTACTAAATATCGGAACTGATTATAGGACGATTTGTATATTTAGACTTAGCTAATATAAAATATAAGATACAGATGTCTCTTATTGAGATTTTTTGATTGCTGGGTGTAACCGTATTAATTGTTGTAATCATATCAATTAATATGGATATTTAATTGCTCGGAATATCCTTCGTATATATCACACCAGTTTGAGAGGAATTTTTTTTGGCTAAAATTAAAGTAGAAATTTTAATAAGAATTGAGTGATCTAAAGTTTAACAATCCGTTTTGAAATTTTAGGTTTTAAGATTTATTTTGAGCACATATTTGGTCATAACCTTCATTTGCAGCATTGTTTCTAATGAGTTATTGATAGGTTGACCGTTTTTTTTTGTATATTTTAAAAATTCAATTATATGAAGTTCGTGATGTACTCTGAACTCATTGCTAATTATTATCCAAATGTAACGCTAATACTTATCAAAGTATGAAAAAAGCAAACCAGTCAAAAAAATAGCATCATTAAAAATGGAAATAATTTAGAAATTTCACTGTTACATAAGCCTAAATTCAGATGTCTTCTATATGCAAATATAGAATAGTTTAGAAAAAAATGTTTAATTTTACAAAATGAAAGTGGAAATGTTTGAGATTATTAATGAAAAAATATTACAGCAATTAATAACTTGAAAAAGAATGTGACCAAAAACCATTTTTTTGCTCTTTCTTTAAAATAAAGCACTGATATGTTCAAACTGCAATCAGTTCCAATCAACTAGTTGAGCTTCTCATTAATTTGCAATCAGCTAATTAATTAATGAACCCACAATATATTTGTTACATTGAAGCAGTTTCAGGATGGTATATTTTTTAAGATTTTCTTGTCGTACTGTATGCTTCATTTCGTTCAACATGTTTGCATAAATTTAGGCTATCATCTGATTTCAGAAAGTTTCAAAACCCCGAGATTAATCAACTTATCATCGAAGTATTCCGGAAAACTCTAATCAACTCTAGTTATCTTTCAATCAATTAATATCTCATCAATTAAATTAATTAATGATTCGACATCAATTTATTTGTCACAAAAATTTACCGAAAGAGAGAGAGTTTCTTGAATTTCGCAACATACTGTTTTAGTTATATTATATATTTTATTATGGATGATATTATCACTCTACACAGCTTGTAACGCTGTGTACAATTTTTCTCCATCAGCTCTAATTTTAATTCTTCCAAATTTATTAGACTGAAAGTTGGAGAGAAAAATATAATATTTACATTGAAATTGAATGTTCACGTGCGTTATCAGGTGTAACGTGACCTAATTGCGCTATTCACAGCGGTATAACATCCAGCAATTTTTAATAATTTAATTTAATTTGAAATATTTATTGTTGAATAAAAAAAGATAGGCGAAGAAATATACCAAATACTACTGAATTCAAAATATCACAAAACATTTCAAATCCATGAAACAATGATTTGCACTGTTTCAGTTAAATCACCCTCCTTTTAGCTCTACAATTAAAAGTGAAAATTTCTCTTTTACAAAAGCATGCTTTATGTACTTGTGCGAGGTAAACTGTTCACAGTAATGCGTCCACCTCCCGCTGTGACCAAATCGCTACTGGATGTTGATGAAGATTTTTTCCTTCTCTCTGCACTTCCAGCTATTTCCTGTTGCCTTAAGCCCAATTGTCCAACTGTCGCAGCAATAAGTTGGGCTTGTCGCTTTGCTTCCATTTCCTGCTGATTCATTCTTTGTCTACGGCGTAACAAATTCAATTCTGAAAATGAAATTTAATAACCAATTTTTTTCCTCCACATTTACCTCATTTTTAATTTACCGAATTATTTGAGAAATGTTATCAGGCCTAATGAAAGATGCATACTGTCATATCTTTGAACCTCTCAAAACATATGCCTTTTGTGGAGTGAATTTCCATGTGCTATTAACAAACATACTTCGAAGACGTCGACGTGCACGATCACGTAGCCTACGCTTCTTACGATGCCTCAAAATGCCCATTTTTATCTTATAACGACGTCGTGCCGGTATGATATGCGAGCGATGATAAACGACAAGAATGATCAAAATTAATAAAATTACCATATCCAGGACAGAAACTTTCAATATAAATGCCATGAAAAAAGGCCTGCAAATTATTTAAATTATATTTGAATCAAATTGATGATTGGTACCGAGAAAAGGAGATTCTCGGAACATTTGTCACCTCGGCAGAAACAAATAACTGATTTGGTTGCGGATAATGAGGTTGTGAGTATCCGTTTTAGATTCGTTCGAAATATCAACAATTTAAGAATCAATATTACATTATTTTCGGAAGTCTTTATTGTTTATCACGGATAAATCTTAATGAATATAAACAACAACAATAAAAAACGAAAACATTTTATAATACTCACGCATTTAGAAGTCTGCATTTCTGCCTCAAAAATTCCGGTCTTCCAATTATTTCACTTTCTATTTCACGTAAAGCTTCTGAAATTTTTCAAATTTTGTAAAACGTGCTAGCAAAAGTAATGATTTTTTGATGTCAATTTCGATTAAGTTAGGAGTGGAAGAAATATGTGTGCAAAAATAATATATGCGTGCAATTTATTTCAACATCCTCTATTTCAAATGCTATTACAATAACATATTTCTCCTATGTAATCATTAAATAAATAAATTTTAATAGCATATTTCATGAAAAATTTGAATGATTGATTACTTTCGAAATCTTGCTTAGCGATGGCTTTCGTTACAGCCACCGTATCATTTCCTCGCTCTTCAACCGCTTCTGTTTCCATTTGTAGAATGCGTGTTATCTCACTAGAAAGTTAAAAATGATAGGAAAGAGTAAAAATGAAAGCTAAATAGGCTAAAAAAGCTAAAAATTAAATTAGCATGAAGTAAATTATTTCAATGTAAAACAATATCGATTGAGAAAGAAAACGAATGATACTTACGCTTCTCGATAGAGAATTTTCCCCGTGTAAATACCAATGGTATCAAACGTAGCATTGAAAGTTATTTTTATACTAAAAATTCTACTTTTGTATCACATAAATAGCAATATTGTAATAAAGAGCTTAAAGGGTTTTGCATTTCTTGAATTTTTAAGTTTGTATTAAAAATGATATTAAATGTATTTTTGCATTAAAATAATTTGTACCAAATAAATGATATAAAATATATTTTTGCCTTAAAATAATTAAATTTGTGCATAATTTTGCTCATATATTTCCACTAATATTTTAATTGAATCCATTGCTTTTGCTTAATTTCTATCATTTTTTTCACATCGAAAACAATGAAATCTTAATGATGATATAATATTGAAATTGTTAAGGTAAAACTAAATAAATAACCAAAAAGGTATACTTACTCGCTGGGATTTTCCACACTTATAACTGAAACTCCTTTAGAATCGCTGCAAATTATGAAGCGTTTAGAACATAATAGCGGAATTTAACATTAAATAACTAGCTTACCAAGAAATTTTTAATCAGTACAAAATTTGATTTCATAGATCGTCGATATTTTAAATATTGTGAAATATTTTCAGATCATTTAAATTATTGGAGTAAGCCTTCAAGCTGTCAATATGTAATAAAATGCACTTATTATAATTAATAATTAAAATTATGTAATTTATTAGCGGAAAGTATCGAAAAAAAATGTAATAATTTACTTGTAAAGAACATATGGAAACGATGTGGAATAGATGAAATTAGCCAAGAATTTTTCCTCCCAAACATGCATGAGAGTACCGTGAACTATCGCATTTGGCGTCGCTACCACAGTCTTACTTCCACTTTTCATCAAGTAAAGTACGCCAGGAATCGATTCATCATACATTGCAAAAGACATAACAAAGTTGCAAGGTTCCTTAAAAAATAACAATATCCATTAATAAATTAATCAGTGATTAAATAGTACTTTAATATCAAAAACTATACAAAACATCAACTAATTACAGAAGTAATTGAAAAAATTATGAAGCAAAATGTATTCACCATTTGTCTCATTTGTCAAATACAAAAAAATTTTTTTTTTCGAAAGTAAAGATATAAATGAGATAAAATATGAAATGCAATAAAGAGAATGGAACTAACCGACATGATTTGTCGATGTGCTATCTGAAAAATGAAATGGTTGAAATGATGAAAATTGCATCACATTGAATCAATAACATTCTTTCATCATTTGCGAGTAATTACAAATTTCAAAAAAAAAAAAAGAAAATTTACCGAAAATGCGTGAAATGCAACGTTTTTGATACTTTTTTCTGCACTTTTTGTTATTTTACGTCTTTGGAAGTAATACCAGCATTTTTCACGTGGTTTATACTGATAATACGTATACCCATCAATGTTATGAATGGTATGAAATGTATGGGGTACAATAGTAAAGGTATTATCTTTTTCAAAGTCCGAATCAACCAAATTATGTGTATAAAAAACAAGTTTATCCGATCTAAAATAAAAATAAATGAATAGATAAATCTCACATAAAATTGTCAAAAATCATATTTACAAAATAAAATCTATCTCTCACTAAAATTAATTATTTTTGTCAAAAAAGGTGCTTGCTTTTTATAACTTACTAATTAGAAAATTGTTCACAATAAGTATAACCAAAGATTTTGTCAAAAATTATCTTAAAATTATGGTTTAGTACGTATTTGTATACATATATTACTTCAATGCCTCATTTAAAGTTCTTTCTTCGGCAAAATTGACATAGAAATTTAATACTTTCTGTTCTCTCATCTTCTACTATCTTAGAAAAATTTTAAAAATTTCTCATAATTTCAGAATAAAGTTTTACATAAGATTGTGAGGTTGAAAAAAAAAAACATACAATATTCCATTTACAACATCATTATAATCAATTGATACTTTCATTCGTGCTCCTTGAACGTTTATACCATCTTTGGTTCGTAGAACAGTTATATAAGAATCCGAAAGGAATGCACGCATTTGATATGATTTATCACATCCTGAATTTTCTAATTTTATAGGAAAAAAGAATACAGAAAATACTAAATGTGTGGAAAATTTATAATTAATTATGATAAGAATGTCAAAATGAAATATTTTATTTTGATTATTTTTCTTTTTCAAATGATGTTAATAGAATTATTATTCGTTCAAAAATTGCAAAATATTGACCATTTCCTTTTAGATTGATTTTATCGATATCTTCATATTTCATTACCACAAAAACGGTACAATTGGCTATTCCATAGAAAGACATTGGATGCTTGCTCGAACGATTACGAAACATTTCCATATACCTGAAAGATGAATTTAAAACGAAATAGTTTAAATCAATAATCTGGTGCCAATTAGAAGCTCAATTTTAACTTAATTATAATAATAATCATAACAAAATTTTGCTATCAGTAACTATGTGTTACTTATGTATATTCAATTGTATTTCTATTTAAATTTGTTCATTATGCTAATAATGAGCCAAATTCAGATTGCAAATTTTTAAACGCTGAATGATTTTACTGTTAAATGATGACGTCATTGAGACGTCGGTTTAGCATGAAAATAAATGAAAAATGGGAAGAATTGAATGCGAAACATACGTATCTTCGATGTATTCATTGGGAAAATATAAAAGCGCTTTGACATGATTACCATAATTAGTCAATATTTTTGTTACGGGAATGGATTTCTCCGCTGATCTAAAAAGAAAACTAATGGTAAAAGGTTGGTAATAATTTAACAATAAATTACGTCTTAAAATGATTTGATTTTTTATCGCTTGTGCGAAAATTAAAATTTCTCTACCTTCTGCTTCACTAATTCATTTCTATTTCATCAATTTGTTTTATTTACTTTTAATAACAATTGAAATGAAATGGAATTAGCATAAAATAAAAATGTGAGGAAATAAATCGAGAAATTTTCTGTAAAAGTAAAAAAGAGGAAATTACCATAAATAATTATTGCTACTTGTCGGCTATTTTACAAGCTCAGTGATTGAAAATTTTAAAAAAAATTACAGGAAAGAAGAAGATTAACTCACATAATGTTGTATGTCATCTCAATGGCATTGGTCCTTGAAAATATCAATTATATTAAAATTTTTACAAATAAATTTAAATGGATAAAATGATTCAATTCAAAAAGAAAGCAACAGGCCGTTAGAGTTGTGTCGAATTAGGAAAATTTAAAGCTTTTAAATTATATCTCAAATTTAACTTTTAATAAATAATAAAAGCATTGTAAATTCTAATGAATTGTCATAAAAAACCAAAAAAAAGGTATGAAACAAACTTTTCATTATAAAATAATGTTCGACCATTTCGAAGATGAAGTGGCCATTGGCTTTCAATTCCTTCGAATGGTTTTTTGTCTCCACGATAGTTATCAAATTTATTCTAAGAATAATTCATTAAGAAATTGTTATTTAAAGACTAAAAAAACCGTCAGTTCATAGAGACACTTCGCATTTTCCGGAAAAATTGCAACGACGCTACATTTCCGGAAAGCACGAAATGTTGAATATTCAATTCTCTGTTTTTTTTTTTGTAAAATTCAGTTCTTTGTTTTGTAAATTTTATGTGTGATTTGAAATTATCACATGCAAAATGGCAGACAAAATATAACATTGTATTGCGATGATAATTTTGCGTTCTTTTTAAAGCAAAGAAATGGAACAGTTTGTAAATTAAAACACAAAGAATAATTTTAATGTTTTTTAAACAGAAATTTATGTTTATAATTACAATTTGGCCAAGGAAAAATCAATGTCTCTTTTCGAGGACGAATTTTTGATTCGAATAATACAACAATTAAAGTCATGGAATAGTTACTAGTTGTTAAATCATTCTTCAATTATTCCTATACCTTACTTTATTTAATTCATTTCTTATAATGAGAAGACTTTAAATGAGGGGAAAAGGGAGCAGATTTACTAGCAATTTGCATGAATTAAATTATTAAAGTAAAAATTTAAGAAATATAAATCCAACGAAATGATTCAGAAGGGAATTAATTAACCAGTTTAGGATCCGGATAGCTTTTTAAAATTCCATCATGATTAATAGTTAGCTTCAATTCATGTGCTGTAGATGAGTCAATGAAAAAAATCAGTTTGCCTTCCTTGGCATCATAATCAACTTTTCGGCATTTTTTCTCTAATTTATTGACAACAGTCATGTTACTCTTTTTTAAATAGACAACTTTCATACCATTCCTGAAGAACGAACAATTTGTGACAACTCCAAATCAAATATTCCGAAACAAAATTATAAAATTTAGTTAATTTTCTAATCATTCCATAGACGCTTCTTTTTAAAAATTTTATTTTGCCTCAATTTTATTTTTCTTATGCTTGTTGACAGAAATATTTAGATCAAAAAGGAAATTTGAAATATTTCATAGAATGGCAAAAATGTTTTCATAGCAGTGGAACCTTCTTTAATCTTAATTTTCATTTCATTATTTTTTCTTTCTCTTTTTTTGAAAAATTGAATATTACTTTTCTAAAATTAACAATGTTAACAGGCAATTTTCAATCATACCATCCTACATATGGATAATGAAATCGAGCAAAAAAAATCAAGCATAGGTGTTTCGGTAAAAATATAGGAAACTTTGAACCATACTGATAATAGCAGATCATTTTAAAGATAAAAACTGATAATATCAAATCTTTTCAAATGAAAATAATCCACTAACCGTGGATTTACATTATATATTCGGTAATATGTTTTTGGTCCACAAATTACAGCAATTGCTTCTCTACCATCGATTGAAAATAAGTAAAACTCATCGTCCTTACCAAATTCTTCTGTAAAAGTCTTTTTTTATCCTTTTAAATTTAATAATTGAAAGATTTTCTATTTGTAATTCAATGAAAAAAAAAAAAACGAAATATATTTTACCTGTTTCAGCACGATGTGCAAGATCGAGTGCAAATAATATTTCTGAGAATTTTTCCTTCTCACTCATTACACGATAGGAAAATAAGTAACCATTTCGGAATCCCAAATAAATTGATCCCTTTTGATGTACCGCACTTACTTCCTTGTCATGATACACTTGAACAAATAATTTTAGCGAAAATAAAGAAAATAAAACAAATAATTGTGGCGAAAATAAAAAAAGAATTCTAAAATAAAACGGAAAATTCTATGAAAATTTACTTTAAAGTGTAT